TCGTCGTCGCCTTCGTGCTAACGCGGGCCGTCAAGGTCCGACATCTGGTCGGAGTAGATGGGGTCGGAGGGTCGCTCCACATCGCCTGTGCATCACCGATGTGGAGCTTGCAATGTACATCGCCTGTACATGCGGCTCGATGAGGAGCCCGATGTGCTTCACGTCGAAACGTCGCCGATGCATGGTCGACGTCGACGACGCATCGCTGTTGCCTCAGCGATGCATCGGCGATGCGTCGCCGATGTATCGGCGATGCGGCGCGATCCTCCAACCCCCGACCCCATCTATTCCGACACCATCTTAGAGGCCTCCATCCTCGCCCTCCTCGTCCTCGCCCTCCTCGCCCTCCTCTTGCTCGCCCTCCTCTTGCTCGCCCTCCCGTCATCAGCAGGTGACTTTCGGGCTAGGGCTGGAGTCGGGCTGGGGGCAGCGCTAGGGCTGGAGTCGGCTGGGGGTTTGATGCCGCCCAGCACTGGTTTCGCCAGCGGGGAGGCGGGGGCCAGGTTCGAGGTGCTGGGTTCGGGAAGGTGTTTGTTTGTCTTTCTCTGTCTCCGGAGGCCGCTTTCGGGCCCTGGGTCCAACGAAAACGGATCCAGGGTGAGAACCTGCACCAGATGGACACTGGAGGAGATTGGGGACCGATTTTGGTAGGATTTTGCCTCATCCCTGGCAGGCTCCAACGTTCACCTCGAAGGGTCTTTACTTTTTATCCCCACCCTTTGCCTCGGCGGTGAATAGGACTGCTCCTCAAACTTTCTCCTCCTCCTCCTCCTCCTCCTCCTCCTCCTCCTCCTCCTCCTCCTTCTCCTCCTCATCCTCCCCCCCTCGTGGTCGACTGCCCGACCCCCCCCCCTCGCTCATCCCTTCCACCTCGTGCTCCGCCTCCACCTCCTGCTCCTCCTCCTGGTCCTTCCCCTCGTTTTCATCGGTATCCACTGCCCCTCCTCGTCCCTCTTCTCAGGCCAGCCACAACTGGGGGAGCTGTGGTCCTTAACCCCCCTGGGGGGCCCATCGATTTCGGCACCCCTCTCGAGAGATCGTCGATGCGATGGGTTCCCCCAGGGGGGTAAGGAGTAAGGACCACAGCTCCCCCAGTTATGGCTGGTCGGTCTTCTCCGATCCCCTCATCCCTGCGCGGGGAGGAGGGAGCGCACGACGCACGACCACCACCTGGGTGGGTGGGAACACACCGGTGGAGGCTCAGGGGGGCCGTCGTGGCGCAGACCGCGCTCAGCATGGGCTGGAGGTCCGTGGATCTGGCGCGTGGGCGCCAGATCCACGGATCGGGGAAGCCCCCCCCCCCGAAACGGGAGGGCCAGTGCCGCCAGCCATGGCGACGGAGCGCGCCGATCCTGCACACCCAAACAGGAAGGGGAGCACGTCGCCAATCCACGCGCCTCCGGTCCATGCTGGCGCTTCCTCGCGAAAGTCGGGGGCCCCCTAACGGGGTGGTGACCACACCGTGTGGTGAGTCGGTGGGGATTCGGGGTCACCGCACGGTTTTGGGACTCGGGTCGTTCTCCGAGGACGTATGTGGCGATTGGGGCCTCCAGGGTCCCAAAACCGTGCGCTGACGGACCGTGCGGTGAGGTCTTGCGGGATTTCGAGGTCACCGCACGGTTTGTCACCGCACCTTGTCGGGACTCCAAAGAAACGGGAGGCGCGGTGCACAGGCGAGGGACACTGTTCGGAAGGAACTGGCTCAGGCGGGGAGCGGGGGGGGGCATGGACCCGGAATCGGCGATACATCACCGAAAGATCGGATCGGCGGTGAATCCGAACGTTTCTGGAGGGGGCGGGCAGTCGGGCCCCCATCGGCGATGGATGGGCGATTGGGGGTGGATGCTCCCCTCTCTGAGCCTGTCCTCCTCAAAGATCCTCGTCGTCCGGAATCCGTACCTGCAACTCAGGTCTCCGCGGCTGTGCGGGACGACCCGGGCAACCCCGGAAGGAGCGGACAGAATGCGATGAGAATCGGCGCAACCGCCCGAAAACCTCGAACATCGAGCCTATCTCTCCCCCCCCTCGAGCCTACCCCCCTCTGTCCCATTGCGCCGCTATCCACGTCGAATCCGCGCCGTGTACGTGTCGGACTCCTTGAATCCGTGTCAAATCCGCGTCAAATCCCCGTCGAATCCACGGCCGACCCGCGTCGAATCCGCGCCGAACATACAGTGGACGGTGGACACCGGAAGAGGGACAGCAGTTGACAGGACAGACGTGGAGGAGAGCCCAGGAACCGCGTTGGGGAGGCCGCTCCAGAGTTTCTGGCTCCCCTACCAGCGGCCCAGATTAGTAGGTCGACCCTGCCAGATCAAGGGTACCCTCGTGTCCTGTGTCTTGCGACCCATGCCTCCTGCATTTCTGTGGCAACGTGGCCCTTGGAAGGGTCTTGTGTCCTCTCCAAACAAGTCGGACTGTATGTGATGTCGTTCTTGATGGTCAACGTTTGCCCTCTTCCGTGCAAGAGACTCTGGCCAGGTTGCGTGTTGCCTGCTCGAGGGAAAGAACGCGCCGCCTCGAACACATGTGTTGGTAGATATTCGCACCGAGGTCGGCGGGGAGAGCGATGAGTTCCGTGCGGCTTCTGTACGGAGCTCACAATGGCACTTTTGCAGCTCACGGGTGAACGATGCAACTGGAGTTGAATCAAGGTTTCCAAGAGAAATTTCGCCAGCCCACCCCAGGCCCAAATGTATTGCATTCAGTTATCGCACATCTTCCAGGCCAAGTCTTACGATCAGCTTTTATTTGAGCTTGCCAGCATTGCCACGCTTCTGTGCCCACAGTGTTGCTAATAGTTTAGCCGTGGCTTGGGACGCAGCTATTTTCGGCGTCATCGGCAAATGCCCGTAAGACAGGGTGTTCCATGCACTGTCGTTCGGCTCGACTCATGTGCAATGCCGCCTGCAGTTTTGTCGGCCATCGTCACATGAGCGACGCAGATCAAAAGGACCGTTTCCACGGACATTCGCGCGTAAGTTGCCCGCGTAAGGTCGCGCATGAACACTTTATTATCCACGCGGTGTGCCCCGTCTGGCGGCCTGCGCAAGCCGCGGCGTAAAGTCGTTATTCTATTGCGTACGACATATGTTTTTTGCGCACATGGCCTTCTTACGCGTCTGTACCTCGATGCCCCTGCCTCTCTCCTCGTCCTCGTTCCCCGTCCCGCTGCTCCAGTCTCTCTGCTCGACACCTCTCTGCTCGATCCTCTGCTCGATCCTTTCTGCTCCGACACGATACCAACGATTCTTCCAGAGGAGGCTCATCCCAAGCGTCCAAGAAACACTACAGTCACCAGCTGTCGGCTAAGGCCCCACACGCCGCTCCGCGGGCCCCGGGCAGGCTGTGCTGCATGGCGGAATGGGGGCGAGACGGGGAGACGCAGGCAGACGACGACGAGCGCGCAGGCGGGACGCCAGAGCCGGCGGGGCGGGCGGGTGGGCGGAAGTGGGAAGGTGGGGCGGTGGCTCGATCATGCATTTCCACACTTATGATAATGGTTTACGAACCATTATCATACGTGTGGCCTTAGCTTGAGACCGCATCTGAAACCATTTCCATACTGCTTGGCGCCTGAAACAAACTTGGACAGGAGGAGGAGGAGGAGGAGGAGGAAGAGGAGAAAGGAGGAGGAGAGGGAGGAGGAGGGGGGAGGAGGAGGGGGAGGAGGGGGATGATGTGGGAGACGGGGGAGGAGGAGGGAGCGGAGGAGGATGAGGAGGAGGGGAAGGAGATCGAGGAGGAGGATCACATTGGGCACGGCGCGATAACATAGTATAGCAATAGCAGTAGCCATAGCCATAGCATCGCATAGCATAGCACAGCTCAGCATAGCATAGCATTGCATAGCATAGTATAGCATAGCATGTCATAACATAGATCCGCGCGGCGGATAGCATAGCATAGCATAGCATCGCATACTATAGCAATAGTTCTAACAACACTGTGGCGATACAAAAAGTGCCAGATTCGTATCGCTGGTGCTGCGGTGGTTTGAACAGTTTGAAAGATCACACGCCTAGAGACCCACAAGGGGTCGGCGGATCGCTTTTGCATCGTTGTACATATATATACATATATATATATATACACACGTGTATATAAATATGTATATATATGTGAAGTTGCTCTGCAATGGCGTCAATCATGGTCGCAGTGTTGTTGCATGCGCCTCCTCCCTCCTTTTCTTCCATCGCGATGTTGTCTCGAGGTCTTTGAGGGATGGTCAGCCGAAGCCCCTGCACCCTCTAGAGCCTTCCGCTGTTTGACCTACACATACTGCACATTGGTCAGAGGTGTGCATGGCAGATAAATTCGGCGCGCCGAAGCCGAACGCGAACCAGAGATCCGATGTTGTGCTAAAGACGAGCCAGCAGGTAGCAGCATCCATGGTGAAATACGGTGTTGTTGACAAGCCAGTTCACGTGGACCCGAATGAATTTGGCGCTGACCCCCAGAACCGCAGTGGCGCCACCCCTAACATTCAGGTGATCAGGAACACGATTGTGGCAGGCATCCAGCAGCACGGATTCGACCCGAACCGCCCGTTGCCAGGCATCGCGCGTGTGTGCACGAGCCCAGAGAAGGTCAAAGCCCTCATCACACACAATCAGACGTTCACCAATGGCGACGGTCGCTACCCACCAGTGTACCAGGACAGTACCCTCCTTCTACTCCTCCCTCCTACTTCTCCTCCTCCTCCTTCTCCTCCTCTTTCTCCTCCTCCTCCTTCTCCTCCTCCCTCCTCCTCCTTCTCCTCATCCTCATATTCCCTCCCTCGTATCCCCTCCACCACCTCCTCTTCCTCCCCCCCAGTTTCCTTTTCCTCTTCCTCCTTTCGTTTCGGAACGTTCATTTCGGCACACGCCCCTGACACGGCTCGTAGCCCCATAGAGAGATCTAAGAACATGTTAGTTGTTTCAATCCCCCAGGACAAGATGAACAAGGGCGCCCTCGCTGGGACACTTGGTTTTTTTCCCTGCGCTTGCTCAAGCGAGGCGTGGAGTTCGAACCGAGCCCCGACGACAAGGCGCTCGCTGATGCGATCACCAAGGGCCACGTCTGGTGGCTCGTTAACGAGGCCATGCCAGACACAGAGGCAGTCATGATATCAGAGTGGCGCAATTCGGACAACAACACGTCGCAGGTGAAACACGAGATTGAGCACGTACGCGGATTGCAACGCATTTGCTTACGAGAGATGTCGGTCAGTAAGTCTGTTGTGCTATCGACTGTCGTCTCGAAGGCCTTGGCCAGCATGCAGGTGAAGGTTGTCAACACCCAGATGCTCGCGCTCGCCAGGTACGTGGTGGACTTGGGCGCGAAGGATCTCATCGACGAGCTGTGCACTTTCCACAGCGCCGAGGTAAACCCAAACGAATTGAAGGTTCTGGGACTGTGTGAAGTTGTTTTCCTGGGGGAGGGGGTCCTTTGATGTTTTCATTGGCCATGTGCTGATTGTTGAGTTTCTGGTGCCATCCCTTACATTGCCTAGAATCACAAGAGGAGCCGAGGGTCGGGCGGTGTAGGAGCTGGAAGCCCCAGGAGGATTATGTGGGGGGTGGGGTGGCAGGCCAGGTCGGTGCGCCTCCAGATGGCTATATGCCAGACCAGTTCGTATTCGTTGTGTTTGATTCAAATACAATGCTTCGTCTATCCCTGTTGATTTTCGAAGCTAGTGAAACCGCAAACGGTGCAGTGTTAACGCGTGGTTGAGATTATCGCTCACCCTCGAAGGTCAGCCATACTGTATACGATGAAGTGAACAAGTCCATTCCGAACAAGTACCCCCTGCTCAGGCTGAACTTGATGACATTGGCTTACGACTCCACGAACGCGTTGCCACAGATCCGCCCAACCCCCGACGTAGCGGACTTCGTGAAGGTTGGTGATATCAAGTCGCTCGGGGGCAGGGATGACGAGTGAACGCTCCTCGAGGGGTTCTTCCAGAGGGTGCGCATGCACTGCGACAGGCAGGTCGGGGCGTTCGTTGCTTCGCCAATTGTGGCTCGGAAGGTTTATGTATGGTACGTCCATAAGTAACCACACCACCCACTCCTCCTCCTCCTCCTCCTTCTCCTCATCCGCCTCCTCCTCCCCATCCTCCTCCAAGTTTGCACCATGATTGGTTCCTTCTTCGGCTTCGTCATCCTCAATGTCCCTCTCTCTCGTTCTCCTCCACCTCCTTCACCCATTCCGCCCTCATCATCCGTATCCTCCTCCTCCCCTTCCTCTGTCCTCATCCCCCTCCCCCCTCCTGCGCCTTCTCCTCGGCACTCCTCCTCATCCGGCTTCCCTCCCTCCCCCCCTCCTCATCCTCATCCTCCTCCTCATCATGCGATGCTCATCCTCCTAAAAGTGCCCATGCTGCTGCTACTGCTGCTCGTCCTCCTCCTGATGCTCCTGCTCCGTATCCTTTATCCTGATCCTCCTCCTCCTCATCCTCCCCCTCCTTCTCCTCCTCCTCCTCTTCCTCCTCCTCCTCCTCCCCACCATTGCCCGACCCCTCCCAATGGCCCGTCGGAGCCAGGTTGTTCGCAAGATGGAGCACGCGATCTTGCGATCGGCGCTGAGCAAGCAAGTCGACGCTGAGTTCAACCCTGGTCCGCGGGTCAAGGCCGACCGCGCACTCTCTGAATGCTGCTTATGGTCCTCATCCTCCCCCTCTTCCGTTTTCCGCTGGGGCGCGCGTGTGGCTCGCGTTGGCCTTGCGCCCTCACACGGTTCGTGACCCCATATGCAGCTCCAGCCGAGAGCCCAAGTAGGCATGACCGCATGCGATTTCGCCTATCATTTCGGCACATCCTCACACGGTTTGTGGCCCCGCAGGGAGCTTCACCCGAATGCTCCCGTGGTGATGTTCGGATGTGGTACCGCCACTCACTTCGGCACACCTTCACACGGTGCGCGGCCTCACAGGGAGATCCACCAAAAGATCACAGTGGCTAGATGACGTTATTGTGTACACCCGACTTGGATGTATGTTGGCTAAGACGGATTAGGAGGAGCTGGTCGTTTGAAATGGTTAGTTGGTTTGATGGCTTAAATTTGAAATGTGGTTAGAGGGTTCAGTTGATTAGAGGGTTTGGTATGTTTAATGTGTTACGACGTGTCGTAGACGGTGTATATGGTTTAAAGGTTCTATCGTGCCCACACGGTTTACAATGTTCAACTGGCTTCGGTGCGTACCTGGAGTTGGCACTTGCGATGGTTCCGATGTTTAAGATGGTTTGTGGTTTAATGGGTTATGGTGTGTAGATGGCGTACATGATGTAGTGTCCTTGAATTCGTTTAGATGGTTGATATGGTTTACTTGTTTATTTGGTTCAGACGGTTTTATATGACTCACATTGTGTATACGACTTAATCGGCTAATCAGGTCTGTGTGGCTTAGTGTGTTTAAGATGGTGCATTGCTTTATGCGAGCCCACGCGTTTCTATGGTTTAGATGGCTTATGGGTGTTCTTGAAGTCCAAACGGATTGGGATGTTTAGAGGGTGTCGAGTGCCCATCGAGTCTAGAAAGTTCAAAGGGCCGAGGGGCTTAGACGGTTCTTGAAGATTTAGACACTTGCTGATGTTGCTTTGAGGTGTTTTAATGGTTCATGTTGTTTGTATGGTTCGCTTGGCTTAATTGCCGTTGACGGTTTAGATGGTTTAGATGGCTAACTGGGCATGTATGGTTTAGGTTTTCCATCTATGGCTTAGATTGTTTAGCCGACTGAGATGGATAAGACTGTGTTGTGTGCATCCGCCCTCCTCCGTAGCTGCGTCGGTTCAAGCAACTGTCGCTCCTCGCACCCCGCTCTGCGGCTTCATATGTCCCGTTAAGTCGGTCCACCATGCCGCCCAAGCTTGTTGGGTCGAAGGCCAAGGCACAGGCGATGCCCAAGCCAAAGGCAAAGGCAAAGGCAAAGGCGGCGCCCAGTGTGCAGACGCTCCTGCGCCGCAACGGGATCCTCAAGCAGCAGCTGTCCCAGGCGAGGTCTGAGTTGCGCCAGCGAGACAAGTCCATGAACAATGCCGCCGATGCCATGGAGGTCTTATGCAAGCAATTGAGGAATTCAACTAAAAAGGGCAAGGAGCAAGTGTTCATCCAGGTCGAGGAGTGGAGGACGAACCTCTTCAATGGGCTGGTCCGTGACGGCTGGCCTCTGGAGAGGGCGCGCGATTTTGCAGAGACTGCCATCTTCAACACCAGGCCGAGGGTGAACGGTTTCGCAATCGCGCCCCCCATGCCCAATCCGCCGCAGCCGCGTGCCAACACGGCCCTTGCGCGTGAGCGCCAGGCGGAGTGACGACACACCGTCGGCAGCGTCAGGATTGAGCTCGGCGTTCGGGATGGTCTTTGTCATCGTCGGCACTGGGCTCGCTCGCGCGGACCGCCCCTGAGCCGCGCCGCGTCGAGCTTACACATAGCCTTCCCCAGAGAGGGCGGATTGACGCATCCGCCATTGCATCACTGTGCGTGCGTACTTGCGGAGTTCTGCGAGCCGCTAGATCGCAGAAGCAATCACGTCCCTTGTAGTTCCTGATCGGGGTGGCTGGGGTTTGGGATCGTCGACGGCCCGCATTGGCCTGTATGCGGGAATGGGGAGGGGGGGGGAAGTCCTCTCGGGAGCCTCTTGGGCCCGCGCTGTGCGTTCCAGGAGTATACGGTTGAGATGGCGTGGAAGAGTTTTAGGTTCAGATGTTGCATTCTTGAGATGACTTAGAGGCCGTCGGCGGTTATACGGTTTGCGCGTTGTTGGGGATTCCGAGGGCTTAGATGGTTCAGATGGTTTTTAGATTGTCGGCGTCGTCGTCGCCGTCGTCGTTTGGAAAAAAACCGTCGACGGTTGTTTGTTTTCGTCGTCGTCGGCGTCGTCGCCGTCGACGGCGACGGCGGCGACGACGACGACGGGGTGGGCCGCATGTCAGTAGGATTATTATGCAACGTTGCGTACTTGTGTGCTGTATCACCACCAAGCGACAATCGTTACGAGCGGGCCTTGATCGCACTCGTCCTCCGCCTCATCACCCCCCCCTCATCCTCCATCTATTTCTCATCCACTCTAGTTCCCCTTCTTTGTGATCCTCCTCCGTCTCCCCGCCCTATTCTTCATCCCGCCACCCTGCTTGCTATCCGACCCCCCTTTCCCGTGCGAGGCTGGCGCTGTGACGCAGCAGAAGATCGACATTGTCGAGGTGGCGTGGCGCAAGTGGGTGCAGAAGCACTACCCGCCGACTGAGGGGTCGAATTGGGAGTTCGTTCACGAGGAGCAGGGGGGGAGGGGGAGGGGGATGCTGATGAGGAGTAGGACAATGAGGAGGAGTGGGAGGAGGGAGATGAGGAGGGGAAGGAGGAGGATAAGGAGGTGGAGGAGGATGAGAGAAATGATGAGGAAGAGGATGATGAAGAGGAATATGCATATGAGAAGGCTGAGGAGGATGGAGATAGGGTGAGGAGGAGGAGGATGAGGAGGAGGAGGAGTATACTCACTTAGGAGGGTGTGAGGAAGGAGGGAAACTGACCATATGAGGGTGATTGTGATTTTGCTTAACATGCGGGTGCGCACACGTGAATTGTCGTGATTGGTCTCAGGCGCTTGGGCGTTGCACTGCATTCGCCTTTCAGTGATGTTTTGGTTATTTCTACCCCCGACCAAAGGCGAACCCTTGGACAGAAAGACAGACGGGGTAGGTGGTGTGCCTGTAGAATCACACCATCAGATGCGGCGACCCCTCACCAAGCCCCTCATAGCGTAGTTTGTTCTGTCCCCATTAGGACGATGATGCCATGATGGGGGTCGGCGATGCCGTCTGCGTCCCCACGATCGACAAGGATCTGAAGTTCGTTGGCTTGTCAGATGAGCAGAAGGCGTTCGTGCCTGGAAAATCTGTCAGGCTGACGAAGAGGGTCACTGGAACTGTGGAGGGGGTTGAGGAAGGCGCCGAGGGTTCCCGGAAGGACGTCGGCAAGAACAAGATTGGCACGATCAAGAGGCACGACGACCCGCCTACTGACAGGCTGTGGATCGAGTTCGACTGCAAAGTCGACGGCGGCACCAAGACTGTGCTGTGCCACGTGCTCTTCGACGACCTCGAGATCGTCGGTTCCAAGGCCGACGGCAGCGGCAGTGGCGGTGCAAAACCTGCAGGCGCCTGGGGTCATGTAAGATTCACCAAGCTTACGCCACATCCGCCGACCCCTCGAATGTGTGACGTGTCGCGGGTGATCATCAGCGTATCCAGAAACGACGCTTAAGAACGGGATGCTGCTGGTGTCAGTGGGCGGTCTCGAGCCCAGCCGTTGCTTGAGCCAACGTGGCTACCGAGGGGCAGGGGGAGGAGGGGGAGAAAGTGAATGACAATGCATGATGGCAGTGATGATGATGAGGATGCGGATGAAGAGGATGGGGGGGATGATAGAAATGGGTGGAGGATTGGACAAGGAAAAGAAGGATGAGGAGGGGGGGGGGGAGAAGGAGGAGGGGGAAGAGGAGGACAACGATGACACACACGCACACGCACACACACACACACACACACGCACGCGCCGTTACTGGTAATTCGCACGGGCCCTGACACACACACACACACGCACACACGCACACACGCACGCACACACACACACACACACACGCGCACACACACACACACACCGTTACTGGTAACTCGCACAGGTCCTAGAACGCACACACGCATACACAATTACTGGTACCTCGCACGGCTCCTGGACCACACGCACACACACACACACACACACACACACACACGCGCGCGCACACGCACGCGCACACACATGCACACGCGCGCACACACGCGCACGCGCGCACACCGTTACTGGCAACTCGTACAAGTCCTGACGCACGCACCGTGACTGGTAACTCGTGCGGGTCCTGACGCACACACCACTGCTGGTAAATCGCACGGGTCCTGGAACAC